TATTCAGGAATACTGTAGGTTGAAGAGTTTATTCCAGGAGAAAACTATTCTGAAGATAAAAGAGTCCAAGTAATACAATATAAGGCTTTATAGGTAATAATAAAGTAGTCACTGTGTATGAATTGGGCAGCCATATAAATCTATTTAGTAAATAAATAATAAGCAACATCTTGGATTGGGGCCAGAAGCAATGCAGTCACTGCAATGCTGTCACTGTTATTTTGCTTGATCTGGCAAGCACCAATCTGTTACATTCTGGCACATTCAGTTTTTCTGGGTCAGAAACAACTTCCAGGTCATCTTCAAGGGCAGCCCCATATAAAGTGAATTATAATAGGCTGTTAGATGACTGGTGCCTTTGGGTCCAGAAACAGGAACAAATGGCAGAGTTGCAAAACTTAGTCAAAGACTTTCCTGGCAATGGCTTCTATCTACTGTTCCAGCAGGAGCCATGAATCCAGGAAAATTCCGAAATTTTGCACCAGCTCTTTCAGGGGAAATGTAATGTTTGTTAGAACAAACATTGCATATTACTGTATTTGCAGTTTCTGGGAGGTTTTACACCAGCATACAACTCCAGCTTGCCTTGAATTTGACTAGTAATAGTGGTTACACACCCAATTGGTGTTATTGTTGGAGCAGTGCCTATGTGACCTGGAATTGGTGGTTCCCTTGTCATGGTTAGATCACAGTCTGGTGGCAAATTGGTTTTTCAAGGGCTGTACCCCCCCCCCCCCCCCGGGAGGCAGGACCTATTACACTGGTCTGCCCCCATTGACTAATGGACCCAGATCCAGAAGGAGCTGGGGGTTATAAGTGCAGATCTACTGTACAGTCCAGCCAAGCACTTAGTCACTGTTTGGAATAGAAAGATGACTGAGACTCTGGATAGGACCCATGCGACTTCACCCTTAGACCTCTCAGTGCCCCATGGTACATAGAGGATCTAAAAGGGATTAAATACATGAGGAGAATCTAGAGTACCCCTGGCAGAAGATAGGGGATGAACTCGATCTAACACAGGTAAAATCTGCTACTAAGGCCTACCTTGTGGTGATTTGTGTGGCGAAGTGTAAATACTTCTAAACACTAATTGCATCAGCAGATAATCACACAGTGACCCTCTTTAAGGACCCTCCTCCTGGGTAAGGAGGAGATGGAGGTCCACTTGAAGTGGCGTGCTGAGAAATTTGTGGATTTTCTGTAAGATAATATTAGCTCAACTTCATTCCCAGTTAGTTGCCAGTCCAGTGGAAACCCCTTAGGCAGGTTTTTGCCCTGTTATCTGGGAACAGTTTGATCCTGTTGTTCCCGAGAAAGTGGACAGGATCCTAGGGAGTATGCACGCAAGCACCTGTGTTTTAGACCCATGTCCCTCCTGGCTAGTGAAAGCTTCCCAGGAGGTGATAGGCAGGTGGACTCTGGTGGTGATTAATGCTTCCCTACAGGAGTGAGCAGTGCCCTGGCACTTTAAGGAGGCTGTGGTCTGCCCTCTTCTTAAGAAGCCATCACTGGATTCCACCGTGTTGAATAATTTCTGACTTTTGGGGGAAGGTTGTTGAGAAAGTGGTTGTGCGGCAGCTCCAGAGGTTTCTGGATGAAACAGATTATCTTGACCACTAAGAGTCAGGATTCAGGCCTGGATTTGGGACAGAAACGACATTGGTCACACTTTTGGATGATCTCTGGCAGGAGCGGGATGGGGGTAATGCATCCGTCCTTGCTCTACTTGACTTCTCAGAGGCTTTCGAGACCATCAATCATGGTATTATCTTGGAGCGGCTTCGGGGGATGGGAGTGGGAGGCCTTGTGCTATTGTGGTTTGCTTCTTTCCTCTGCAGCCACTCTCAGTCAGTGGTGATAGGAGGGGAGAGATCCAGCCCTTGCCCACTGTTTTGTGGGGTTCCGCAGAGCTTGATACTCTCTTCGCTCTTGATCAACATTTATATGAAGCCACTGGGTGAAATCACCATCACCATGTACTGAGGTATCACCAATATGCTGATGATACTAAAGCTGTATGTCTCGGCCCGTGATTAGTTAAGTGATGCCATGTCCTCCCTCTCTCAGTGCCTGGAGGCTGTTAGGGGCTGGATGGGGAGCAACAGGTTGAAACTAAACCCTTGCAAGACTGAGTGGCTCTGGGTTTGCGGTTCGTTGGCTCAGAGAGAATTGCCACCTTTAGTCTTGGATGGGGTGGCACTACCCCAAACAGACCCTGTGCATAATCTAGGCGTTTTCCTGGACTCATGACTCCTGCTCAAAGAGCAGATGACAGTTATGGCCAGGAGGATCTTTGCGCAACTGCGGATGGTGCACGAGTTATGCCCTTTTCCTGGACCAACAGTCCCTACTCACAGTCACTCATGCCCTAGTCACTTCCCGTCTTGACTATTGCAACATGCTCTACCTGAAGCTGCCCTTGAAGAGCATCCGAAAGCTCCAGTTAGTGCAAAATGCAGTGCCCCACATGGTTTTGTGCAGACCTCAGTGTGCACATATATCACCTCTCCTGTGGGAGCTGCACTGCTTGCCGATTTGCTTCTGGGTGCAATTCAAGGTGCTGGTTGTCACCCTTTATGGCTTAGGACCAGATTATCAGAGGGACCGTCTCTTGCTGCTCACATCTACCCAACACATCAGACCGGGGAGGCAGGGAATGTTGCGGGTCCCATCCCCAAGGGAGATACACCTAGTGGGACCCAGAATAAGGGCCTTCTCTGTGGTGGCTCCCTCTCTCTGGAAGATCATTCACCTAGAGATTAGATTGGCCCCCACTCTAATACTCTTCCGGAAGGTGCTGAATACCTGGTTCTGCCAGTGGGCCTGAGGAACCCAGAGCGGGAGGGAGTCGATTAAATGGCTCATGTGATCTGCTGTCGCTGGGGTGGGGGGTGGGAGTTGGGAAGTGATTTTGTTATATTAATTTATTTGCTTCTTTTTGTTAAGTTTTTATTGTTTTAAATGTGTTTTTATGTTCTGTAAGTTGCCTTGAGTCGCCATGGGCGAATAGGCGGCAATATAAATTCAATTTATATATAATCATGTGTGTTTGTGTTTGTGTTTGTGTGTGTGTGTGTGTGTGTGTGTGTGCACTAAGTCAGGATTTCCACTGGATTTTCCACTTAGCCTATGGCAAAGATGTAAAGCTATGTATCATCAATACATAGATTATATTAAATACAAACCTGACAGATCATCTCCCCAGAGCCTACAACAAAAACACTTTGTGAAAAGTACAGGACTCAAAAAAATTAGAATGTAGGTTGTGCAGAAAGAGTGAATATGTTAAATACATATCCTTCAGAAGCACACACACATGTTTTCTGAGGTTTTCGCGGGTATTTGTATGTGGATCTTTGGTTATTCGGGTTGGAAGTATTTTGGCGACATTTCGACGAAATCTCATCCGTCATCTTCAAGCTTGTGTCTTCAGCTTTGTGCTTCTTGAGTAATGTGAGCTTGCAGCTGTTTTTTCTTTTAACTGCCAGTGGGAGTGCACCCTCATTAACAAACGAGTACCTAACATGAAGAATAACACCAGACCCACACCCACGAAGGCCACACAAGACGCTACCACCACACTTCCGCGTAGAAAGCAGATTCACACCCACACAGATGATGAGACACGACCACGGACCAGAAGCCGTACTGCAGCTGCATCACTACCCGCTTCAAACCCCTCCGACCCATACATGAAGCAAACTAACGCCCAACATGAAGATGTGGCATGACCACAAGCGCGAAGCCAAACAACAGGATCTCAGCTCACCAGCTCAAATCCCCCGACAACTAAGACTAACCTGAACACAGCCAACCCCCCACCTGAACAGAACACACCCCCACCCAATCAGAACACAGCCAAGCCCCCACCCAGTCGTCGCACTCCCATTGGCAGTTAAAAGAAAAAACAGCTGCAAGCTCACATTACTCCAAGAAGCACAAAGCCGAAGACACAAGCCTGAAGATGACGAATGAGATTTTGTCGAAATGTCGCCAAAATACTTCCAATTTTACGTGGGAGAAAACCCGAATAACCAAAGATCCAGATAGATAGATAGATAGATAGATAGATACACACACACACACAGCATACTGCCACATTTTCCGCAGAATTAACACTCCTACAACAATTCATGTAATTCTTTACCCATTAATCCTTATTTTTCATGTCTAAAATGCCAGTTTTTCTTTCCTTTCCTTTCTTCCACACAAAAGGCAATAAAAATGATTAACTAAACCTGTATGTAAAGACAGTACTGCCTAATTATATTTGAAATGGAACATTATTATTTCATTTATTTTATTTTATTTGCTGCCTATCTCACTATGGGGCTATTCTAAGCAGCTTACAACGCTTTGATTGAAACCAATCCAATACTCCATTCTGTGAACTCAAAAGTATAAATAAGACTCCAGGTTTGCATAAAGAAAAAAAAACTTATTTTTAATAATATTACTGGGTAGTGGTCGTGGTAGTAGAACATTAATAGGTTTGAATAAGGAAGATTGCAACTTACTGGACACTGCACTCACAGTTTATAACTAGACCTAAATGTCAATGGGTGCAAGTGATTCCTATTATAAAATCAAATCAATATTTTTAAAAGCAATGAAACATCAACTTAAAATCTTAAAAATATTATTTTATACCACGAGATGTGTATGCTGTTATGAAAATCAGGCATTAATGTACAGTACTCTCATGTCTTCACTCAGGTCAAATTTATATACCACTCATGAATAACTGTGATCTACATTAATATTGTTAAGATAAAAAAGCAGCTACTGATACTTCCAAAGAATATTACCCAAACCATATATATTCCAGAACTTAAATATTTTTCTTTGAAAATCAGAACAAAATGTACCAAAAACATAAGCACATTAGGATAAATATCTGAGATTGAATAGAATAGAAATGAGATTGAAATCCAAAAGCAACAATTCCTTACACACAAAACTAAAGGATATTCCATTTCCTCATATGTAATACGCACTTTTTTTCAGTAGAGATGTGATTCAGAAATACTGCAATGGAAAGAAAACTTAAGCTTAAATAAGAATGAAAATGTAGGAGATGACCAGGATGAGCCTGAGGGCAGGGTCAAATGCATCATCAGTTTAAGTCTCTTCACCCCGTAAGAGATCCAAGTCTAGCCTCCACTTCTCATCTGTTGCCAATTTGCCTTGATCATCAGTCGTTCAGATTCTTGTTATAGGTAGCATGAAACAAACTTGTAATACTTCTATCTTGGTCTTCTGACTTTTTGTACGTGACAGAAAATTTTAGAAAGTTATTATTCCTTAATTAAGAAGTAAAAATTTCTTTCCCCCGCAGAAGTCTTCTCCAAACTTTCCATTTATTCTTTCTTGACATAAATGCTTCCTGATTAAAAATGAATAATTATAATCCTACATAAAAAATATAGAAAGGGAGTGTACTTAATAAATGCTCCATAGTATCTATGATACCATCTATGTACACTATATTATAATAAGTTTTTGTAAATTAGAATGATAAAAATGCCAACTATGCACAAAGTACTTTCAATGACAACATATATAATTATATGGGTGTATAATGTTATAGAATGCATAAGCATTAATTTATTAACATACTTAAGGAATCACAATTAATAAAGGGGATCCAAATTCATGGTATCATAACCAAATCAAGTAATCTACTTCTTGAAGTTCTGCTTTTATTAAATAAGATGATAATTATTAACGCTTCCTGTAACTACCCAAAATAAAAAGCTAAAATTCACAATTTCACTAAAGAAGAACCATTGCTCAAAGCACATACAGGAAGCCATTTAAAACTATTCCATTGATCATTGTTAGTCTGTTTCCTGAAAAGCAGGGCACTGTAAAAATCTTGTGGGTTCAAATAGTCACGACTTCCTAGCTTCCAGCTAGAACCAGTTTCGCACACTAAAAAAAAAAAATCCTTGTCCAACTTAAAATAGAAAGAAGACATTTTTAATTGTCCAAAGTCCCTTCACTCATTCATATAAGTCTTCCAGAACAGTTTAAGATATAGAACAATGTTTCTTCCTTCTCAGTTTAAAGAAGAAAATTATTCTTGAATGAGCCAATTTGGTACAGTGGTTTAAGGCTGCAGGCTACAAACCAGAAGATCATGAATTCTAGTTCTGTCTTAGGCACAAAGCCAGCTAGGTGACCTTGGACCAATCACTGTGTCTTGGTTCTAGAAAGGAGGCAATGGAAAATCACTTCCCAAAAAGTGCAGGGATCATAGTGTCCAGGAAATTGCTAGGAATGTTCTTTAAAAAAAACACCTTCTGATTTAGATGTATGTACAACACACACACACACACACACACACACACACACACACACACACACTTCTTTAAAGCCAATTTGGAACTTGATGTGTTTTCAAAGTGCCACAAAATAGCAATATGGAAGATTCCTCGCCACTTGTCTATATGCCCTTCAGTTTCAAACTGGAAAGAAAAGTTGGAGCTCATTTTATTTTTGTAAATGAATATTCTGGTGGTGAAAGACTACTATTTTACTTAATGCTTTTAACTACCTATCTTTTGATTTCACACAACAGAATTATGCTGATCAGGAGATAGTTTGAAAAACATTGTGTGTGTGTGTGTGAGAGAGAGGGGAGGGAGGGAGGGAGGGAGGGAGGGAGGGAGAGAGAGAGAGAGAGAGAGAGAGAGAGAGAGAGAGAGAGAGAGAGAGTCACATGTACTGTATGCTAAGAATTTCTAGCTTGCTGGCAGCCATTCCAGGTATCAAGGCAAAACCCTAGAGCATTAAGAGTCAATCTAGAACACACTATTCTTTGAGTGCATTAGTGCTAGGCTCCCAAGCAGCAAAACAGGTTAGACCAGGAGGTTTCAACTCATTCAGGCACAGAAACTAGTAGCGTAAATATTGCTCGCTCTCTCCTCAAACACAGTCTTTTATAAAAGCTCATCAAGTTTTCCTGGAACCCTAGATTTCCACTGAATACAGTTTGAGAAACAGGAAGGAAGGAAGGAAGGAAGGAAGGAAGGAAGGAAGGAAGGAAGG